TACATTCTGTTGTTGATTGAAAGTAGTAATGATTTAGCAGTAATTAATATCAGGTAGTTCAGTGGCAACAGCAATTAATATATTAGATACCTATGTTAACACAGGTACGCAGGTACACAGGTATCATGTGATATCACAGGAAATATGTTTAATTCCTTGCAATTTTCAAATTAATGTATTAGCTTTTGATAAATGATGTTGTACAGCCACTTCTTGCTAATGCATTTATGATGTTATTTTGATCTTTGAACCTTATTATAGTCATGATTCCAAATTTCACTGTTTACAAACAGCTTCTGTAATCTCCCAGGCATTTTGAAGTTTTATAGTCACCTAAATTTATTAAAATACCGTTAGCAATGTTGAACGAATGAATGGACCTCGTACCCTCGTGTTCAGACTACAGGGTTTTAATATGGGCCAAATCTGAAGACTAAGATGGCCATTGCTAAATATTGATTTGGTGTCCCACAACTATTTCTGCGTTAATTTAGATATATGTTTTTCATTATCTTGGTCAAAAACCCATCAATAGCTAAGAGGTAACCTACTGGCAAAGGCAACCAGATTTTGGGATAAAAGCCGCAAAACAGCTGCAAAATATTAATGATCCACCACCATATTGCATTGTGGGTATATGGCTTTTCCTTGTATGGGTCTGCTTTTTCACGGCCAAAATTTCTATTTTGCTTTCATTTTCCCACAATTCCATTTAAATATTTATATATAATTTTCAGTGCAAAATAAAAACGAATAAATAAATAAATACTCTAAAAAAGTGCTTTATATACAGACTATGACTCATGAAAAGTCCCAAGACTAAAAATAAGCCAGGATAAATGATTAATTTTTAACCATAATGTTTCAGGGTTTAAGGGTTAGCTGTAAGAAAAACATGTTCTACTTGCTGAGCTGCAACTGATCCTCAGGACTAACAATCTGTCTGCTTCAGCTGAGTGCTTGGGGTGGACTACACTGCTTCAGGAGATCAGTGAGAAAAGCAGGAGCTAATCCATTCAGAGCTTTAAATGTAATGAACAAGACATTGTATTCAATGCACAACTTAACAGGCAGCCAGTGGAGCTTGAATACACTGGGGTAATGTGCTCCGCCTGTCTTTTCCTGGTAAGGACACATTTTGAACTAGCTGAAGCTTCCCTATAGAGGCAGCAGGGCAGCCAGCCAGCAACATATTACATTAGTCCAATCTAGAGGTTATGCGAGCATACGCCACTTTCTCAAAGTCATGTAGGCTTAGCATAGTTCTTATATTGGCTATATTTCTCGAAAGATAATAAGCCGTTTTACAGATATTAGTTACATGAAAATCAAATAAACCAGCATCAGTTGCTACGACTGAAGCTTTTGGTTTTACAGAAAAAGCCATTAAGCTACAGGGTGAAATTATAAATAATAATAATTTATTATACAATTTATTATAGAATAATATCGCAACCCAGCAAGGACGTTTTAAATTATGATCCTGACTGCACTTCATGATATTTTTTTTACTGCTGTGTTTTTAATTTTATTAAATAAAAAAAAAAAAAAAATCCATTATGTGCATATCAACATGCATCTGTCTCTTCTGTGTTGAAAGAAACAATAGAATTACTCTGGGTTCCTGGGGAGCTATTTATTTATTTATTTATTTATTTATTTATTTATTTTCAAGAAAGACAATTTGTTTGCATTTACAGGCTGATCCAAAAAATTTTAACACTGAATGTCAACATTTCTTTTTTAATAAATTATTTTTTTAAAAAAAGACTTCTCATGAGAATGATTTTTCTTCAAGGAAAGGTAAATAGTTTCTTCTTTTGTTATAGTAGAAAATTTGAATCATTGTGCATAAAGTTTGTTTTGTACAATCCTTTTTTCCAATTATCATTAAGCATTCTGATATCCATTCTTTGGATACTTTTCATTTATTTGTTTGTTTGCACCCTGGGATTAAACTGCCCATGTGATGAGCCTGACCTGAAAATGCTCATATTTAGTTGGAAACCTGGATACAGGCTTAACTGTGCCCTTAATTCTCTCCTGACCCTGCCCTTTCCTACTGCCCCGAAAAAATTACACTATTCACCACTCCTATCAAGGCCAGCTGTGAGAGATTGCAGTTTGTATTATATGTGGAACCAGGGGCTGTCCGAGGGAATCACACACACCATGGGGCCAAAAAACTCATTTGAACAAGGTGTAAGGAGTCTAATCAATGTTGACATTGACTTTCTATAATTCTGTGGGCTTAAAGATGCCATTGGAGATGCAGATGGTAAACAGCTTAAAATTCTAGATATACTGCACAGTAAAAGTGTAAATCTATTAAATGAACAGGAGTTAAATTAAAACATTTATTCACGAAAGGGTAAAGAGTACTTGCTTTTGACATTTAAAGCCTTACTAACTCTCTAAGTGTGCCAGCACCCTATCACGAGCACGACGCACTGCTGAAGCTGACTTACTGCTGATCCCTAAGATTGCTTACATTGCACTCGGTGGAAGATCATTTTCTAACAGAGTGCATGCACTGTGCGACAGTGTTCAAGAGAACAGGCATGGCAAGGCACATTTATTTATGTAGCATATTTCATACAAGAAAGCAATTGAAACTGTTTTATATAAATAATAGTCGATAAATTAACAGAAGATAAAGTGGACATAAGAGACATAACAGATACAGTGATGGGAAATAAGTATTCAGACACTTTTATTTTTGTTACTTTATATACTTCCAGTGCATATATCCACTTCAGATGTACACACGTTACGTGACTTTATAATTAAATATGAACAAAAAAGTATGTAGTTATAAACATAAACAAACATGTTTAAAAAATGAACTTGATAGTGAAAAAAGTATTCAGACACCACAAATGACAAAAATTACATTTTGTTCTTTGTACATGTATTTTGTTTCAAAGATGTTGTTGGCAATTACAGCTACGAGACATCTAAAGTAAGAAGTAGACATTTTTTGCAGCATCGTGGTTCAATTTTGGTCCACTACTGTTGGCAAATTGTCTGCAATTCCCCAAGATTATGAGGGGTCCCTCTGATGGTCCCTTGCAATTTCAAAATCCTCCATAAATTTTCAGTGGGATTCAAGACAGGGGACCGGTGAGGTCATTCAAGACCTTCTTGAGTTATTCTGCCTGTATGTTTTGTTCTGTTGAAACGTCCATCTTCTCCCAAGATTCAGTCTCTTGGCCAATAAGATTATATTCTCCTTTAATATTTAAATCTCCTCTCCACAGTAACAGAGATGATTGTGGGGCAGTTGTTTGCTTATTGTTCTCTGTATAACTGTTGCTTCTGCTGCTTTCAAGTCATCCTGCAACTCTTTTTAAATCACTGCTGGCTTCACTCTTACCTTCTTTATCATTACTCGGAGAACATGAGAGAAATCTTGCATGGTGCACATGTCCAAGGATGATTAGTTGAGGTTCCACAAACTTTCCACCTGTATATTATTGAACCAGTTGTACTGACAAGGATGTTTAAAGTCTTTGCTATGGCTCTGTAGCTTTTTCCATTCAGGTGGTGTTGTCCCTGAAAACTTTAGGAAGCTCCTTCTCCATGATTGGTTGTTGTGTGAAATCCTCCCGTTCTTTGTATAATGATATCAGGTGCAATCTGCACGAGAATATTTTTTTTTGCAGCGTTTATATCTAGAACAGGGGTTCCCAAACTAGGAGTCAAGAATCTTGTCTTTTGTTTTATTAATGTATTTTACAAATCTTTTTGGAAGTTACTGGGAGTTGACTGGAAGCATTCAATCAAGCCACAATTAAATGAACAGTGTATGTGCTATTTCGTTTTTTTCACTATCCTCTCACGCACGACCATCTACAGTTACACAAACGTATATTACTGATATAATAACGTTCAAACGTTACCAGAATTCCATATTATAAATTTGGAATTTAAAAATGTATTGTGGTCAAGTCTTGGGGTTACAGAAAATTCATATTTGGGTCATCTGATCCCTTCTGATCCCAGTCATTGTACTGTCTTGTGCTGCCTGCACATGTTTGCACTTGTGCACTTTATGTATATTTAAATAGTCCCTTGTAGTTCTGTGTTGTTCTTGAGGAACTCTTTTGTCTACTAGTGTAAAATGTAATTAATATTATGGCTTTGTTAAACCGGTAGTGTGCAGGTGTTGCCTCGTCTGGCACAATACAGATACTCAAGCTGTGTTTTTCATCAAAACGTTCATTTGGAAAACAGGTCCTTATAATTTTTTATATTCCCCTCTCTCCACTGTTGAAGTACTTCTACTGAGAGCTCTCGAACTCTGCTGTCATTATGAATGTGTTACATGTTTAACATTATGCAGAGTGTTTGGCATTGGCCATTTTGCAAATTCTGGCAATGAAAAGTCATTAGGTAATGGAGATATCAAGAACCTTCAATTATTCAGTTGAAGTGTGGGGCATTGGAAGTGGAATATTGAGCATGATTTAAAAGGTTGGAGGCCATTGAGCTGTATCCATAGTGGACGTGCAGTGATGTGAGAGGAGTGTGGAGCATGGAAGACATTTGTGTACAATTTTTATGCCTGTAAAAAGCGACATCTGTCTGTTTCTACCTTTCAGTAACTTCCTGTGAGGATGGAACGTTTTGTGTTATTATATCAACCTAATATTCTTTGTAGAGATTTTGAATGTGTAGAACTGGCACTGATTCCATGCCCACTGGCCCTGCATTTGATATTTGAGATATTATACCACAGCGCTATTATACCAAACCAATTCCGATTGGTCAGAAGGTGTTGATTAATTTTCTCTAAAAGCAGCTTTGAATGTTTTCCACCTCCAAGGAAATCACTGGTTTATATTAATGCACCCGTTCTAATAAAACTTTCACAGGGACTTGTATGAGGGACGCTCCATATAAACAGGCATAAAAATGTGTGTAATTGTTGATATGGTGAAGTTTTCTGTGAGGAACCATTTATTTAGCATTTAGATATATAGTGCCAGTGCTTCGGGTCCCTGGAGAACTAGTGGTTAGGCCTTGGTGCTCTGACTGCCGCGGCCCGGGTTCGATTCCCAGCCAGGGAACCGACCCCCAGCCATGGGGGTTGCACACGACAGTGCACTGCCAGTCCCGGTCCCAAACCCGGATAAAATTGGTGAGGGTTGCGTCAGGAAGGGCATCCGGTGTAAAAACTGTGCCAAATCAAATACGCGGACCAATGATCCACTTTGGCGACCCCTAACAGGAGCAGCCGAAAGAAGAACAACATATAGTGTCAGTGCTTTGTAACAGTCAGAACTATAATTGTAGGTTTTCCAACAGAGGAGAGTCGTCAGGATGAAGGGCTTTCCAGTCTCTTGTTAACATGACAAGCTGCATTTTATTTGTCTTATCAACTTCATGAGAAAAGAGTGAGAAAAGAGAGGCTAGTGAGGGAACACCTGTTTATAACTGCTATAGTGTAAGCAATAATAGGAACTAACTTGTTTCTTGGATGTTGCACAACATTAAATGTCACTATAAACAATTAATATGCAGGATTTGTCCTTCTTAAAATAATAATTAATTGTAATTGTTGGCAGATTGCTGTGATATATGACAAATAAAACAATTTGAAGCATGTTCTTATTGGAAAATAATCAACTTCAGGGCAGTAACAGTAACTCCTCATCATGTCCAGCCACGTCACACCACTCCTGTGTGCAGAAACAGTCACTATGTGTGAAGATGTGTGAGGATGACAGTACATATTTCACCCTGAATAATAATAATAATAATAATAATAATAATAATAATAATAATAATAATAATAATAATATGCACCCAATAGCTGTTAGAGCAGATAACGTTTGGTGTATAGCCTGCAGTATATTTATAATTTCATGCTTTTGTAACACTTTGCTCATATAAGCTGATCAATACATCCAACTCCAAATTGCCTGTTTCAGCTTTATTTTTAAGTCATTACTCTAGTAGCTCATCTTTGGAAAAGACATTTGCAGCTTTTCCATACTGACATATAATGAGTATCCTCTATTGTTTACTGTATCACTGGGGTTAGCTGACCCCCAAAACAATCCATTGATGTGCAATAAACCTGCTCAAGCCTGTATAAGAAGATTGATGCCAATCCAATAGTGATATATTACTTTTCAGTGTGACTTCCTGCACACTAATTTTGGAAATGGGGAAAGCAAAACAAAAGGGTAATTAGATATGGATGTGGAGACACAAACAGAGAGAGGGTGTGTGTGTGTGTATGTGTGTGTGTGTGTGTGAGAGAGAGAGATTTTGAGATTTCTGTAGTTTCTAAATATGAAATATCATATTTGGATTGCATGAAGGTGTGTGTGCACTGAGAGGGATTGTATGAAGGTGTGTGTTTGTGCAGTGAGATGGATAACCTGAATGTGTGAGTGTATCACACAAAGGTTTTTTTGTCTTTATTCATATTGCATTCTTGAGTTTTGGATGGTCAGTGGAAGATATTTCACATAATACTTAATTTATTAAAAGATAAATAATATATTTATTAGCTAGCCCACCAGAAAAAGAAAAATGCCACTGTTATGCCCAGTCCCTTGTTTTGGTTGCCAAAAATCTCACTAGGCTAAAAAGTGTCAGCTAATGTAATGTAATAACATATGATGAGTTAGATAGCTACTTAAGTGCACTAACTGAAATGATCTTCTTCAAAACAACTTTCTAATGACCAACATTTCAGATACAAGCTATTGTGTTCTGTTTTCACTTTGCATCTAAATATTATTTTTGTATCTAAATTGTTTTTAATATTATTTTGCATCTAAATATATTATTCAAGTCTGCCTAGCTTCTTCACATTCTGTAGATATGTCTAACCATGAGGTGACTGTGCATTAGCAGGAGAGTTATATGAGCTTTATTATCCCCTGTTTCATCGGTAGTTCCAAATACCTGTGCGTTCATGAACCAGAAAAGGATCTGTGGACGTTAATTAATCCACTTAGTAAAAATCATTCCATCAGCCAGCTCATGCCTCGGCTTATGTGCGTAGTGCAGCAGGATTAGGAAGTGTTCGCTATAGTTACAGCACTGGGGTGCATCATACCACCCTGAAGTGCATGAAGCATCTACAGCTTGAGACCAAATATTTTGGCGGGGCAAGATGACTTTAATAACTATATAATCTCAAACAAAACTAAGTAAAGAAGCTATCACACTTGACTTATGCTATAGGCTACTGTGTAGTGAAATTTTAATGAATAACCCGTAATAGGCAGTTGAGAGTTGACAACATACAGTCAATGAGTATACAGTCGTGTAGCTTGATTTGAGAGGTTATAGACATAGCTTTGTTCAATTGTGCTCAGAAAGCTTATGTCATTAACCAGGGTTGCCAGGTTTCAGCAAAATTTCTAGCACAACTACTATTCACAAACCACAAAAAACTGAAACTAGGACTTGGAACTGAGAACTTGGAGTTTTGGATACTAATTTGTATACACCCGTATATACGTATATATTTACAACATTCTGAATTTACTTTTGTGCCATTATATTCGACCATTGCCCAGTTTATTCATTCATTCATTCATTCATTCATCTTCAGTAACTTTCCTGGTAAGGGTTGTGGTAGATCCAGAGACTATTACAGGGGTACTGAGAACAAGGCAGTAATACACCATTGTAAGGGACAACACACACACACACAAATACAGCTAGTGGCAGTTTAAAGTAGCCAGTCCACCTAGCGGCATGTTTTTGTAAGGAAGCCTACATGTACACATGAGAGACTTCACACAATTCCGAACTGAACCAAAGATCCTACAACTGTGAGGCACCAACACTGTTTGCTGCCCCGCCATGCTGCTCTGACTTACATAGTGTACAGTTAAAATACACTTCTCAGTAGACATTATACGTAAAGTTGGTCGGTTTTTCAGATCAGAACAGAGGAGACTTATTTTCTCTCCTCTCATGGGAACATGACCAAAAGATGGGTTTGTGTACCAAAGATCAGTATCAAGTCTACAAAACATATTTATAGTATCCACTGACTGCCTTGTGGCTTATTGATTGAAGATACACACCAGGGTTCTCTTATGGCCACTCAGGACCCAATCAACATCAGGCTCACCAGGTGGGACAAAATTGCCCCAAAATATCTAAAGCCTACAATCATCTGTATTAATCTCATCCTCCCATAGAGGTGCACTGAGAGAGCATGTCTGTCAGGGGTGAGTTATTGATTTCATAAGACCATTAGTGCAGTACTGTGGTGTAACGAGGCAACCTCGTGACCAGACCTCACATCAAGAGCGATGGCTAAGGGCTTTCAGCACTTCTCTAGCCCCTAATGCGACAGGAAAATCCAATTCCACATAGCTGTAATTGAAATTTATTTTGTCACCACAATGGCATGTCAGATTCGCTTATTGAACCCGGCGGTGCTTCAGGATATGTCCTAGCCTCTCTATAACGTGTAGTGATCTTAAATGTGTTAATAAATGAATAAAGCCTAAGGATTTTATCTCACTCCGGGAAATGACTGCTGAATAATTGAACTAACGATGTAGTTGTAATTGTGGTCAGTCTGAAATCACGGTTCCGTGAGAGGAATACAGGCTGAAAAAGGACAGTAGGTTTAGATCTGAACACCTCAAAGGAATATTCTCATTTCATGTTATCAGCACTGAATGTCACGTTTAAGATAAGCACAATTTCCTCAAATAGTAGTTTGTAGTAAGCATTTTGGCCTTCTTATTCCCAAGCCCTTTGTAAGGAGCCTGTACTGTTGTACTGGTTCATTTTAAGAAAGCTCTTTCACCTTATTAACCATTTTTTCAGAAGATGTAAGGCACATACGTGCATTGCAGCATCTAATTACAAAAATAGAGAAAAGAAAGTACTGTTTCTGAAGCTACTGCAGTGAAACACTCTGGTCCACCTAGCATTAGTGTTGTCCTTCATGCCTCTGAGCATTTCTGTTAAAACATTGTGTGAACTGCTTCATTACTCTGCACACTGTACCACACAGCAGACTGACACACACACAGAGATGTACGGCACTCAGGGTGAAAGCTCTTGACACACAGCGCTACACTTTCATTTAGATTAAGATTAAGCAATTAAGGGAAGCAACCAGCAGTAACAAACATTAACATCAGGGATACAGTGATCTGATTCTGAGTATCAGTAACAGGGCTGATGCTGGCTTGAAACATGGGATCGGTATTGGACTATAGTCTAATCGGCTGACATGTTTCATGCCATGTTCATGTTCATTGTGTTGACTGACTTGACTGCACATGACAAAAATTGTGGTTTAGAAGATAAAAAAGTTACCACTTCCAATAGGGATGACTATATGGGAAAAGATCTGTAACATTCAATTTATACATCATTATGGTGTTATTATATGGAACTGTCAACACCAATATCATGTGATTCAGTAAATATGTTTCTGCAGCTCCATATGTTTTAATTAAGTATTTAATGTTCCTTGATTGACGGTTTTACCATCAAAATATGGCACTATGTTTCATAATTTTGAAATTATAGCATATAAAACATTTTATACCACAACACTACTGATTATGATTCTGATTGGTCAGAAGCTTGATTAATTTTCTATAACAGCAGCTTTTACAGTATTTTTGGTTGCAAGGCACTTATTCCAATACATTGTAATTTTTTTATAGTAACAGCTCATTCATACTGGTCTGCTAGGTGCTATAGATAATTGTTGATACAGAGAAATTTTCTGTGAGAAGATGTTTATTTTACATTTATGGAAGGAGTCTCCAGTCAGTGCTTTGTGACAGTCAGAGGTAAAGCTGTAATGTTAAGGTTTGCATAAAGGACAGACATGACAAGCTGTGTTTTTTGTCTTATTAAGATAAATAAGGCACAGAGGCTGGTGTGTCATAAAAAAAGTCATTCCTTAATCAATAAAAAATATAATCACTTGCAAATAGCTGTGTTATAGGAGGAATGAAACACTGTACTGTAACACGTGTTAGAGTAAAATAATCAACTTTGGGGCGGTAATACTTCACACCACCCTGTTCTTGATTATTTTCCTATAACTGCACACTTTGGT